GTTGCACCATTTTGTCTTCTTTTCCTTGACTCCCAGGTACATGGAAACATCCAGAATGAACTGTGTAATTATTATGGAATCCAAACTGGAGAGATTTTGAAGCCTTGTGCAATCAAATGATCCGTAAATGGGTCTCAGCAGGCAACCAAGGATTCTCCTGTCTCCCCATGAAATCAGTATATGATATGCATTTCACTTCTTAGATTAATATTACTGAATGACGTTGACTAGCTGCAATGGCATAGAAAGCTCACTCCAACCTGAGTTTCCCTATTGTCACTCTTGACACCATTCCTTTAGTTTCATTTTTCTGAGTTTCTTCAAAAATCAGCAAGCTCTAATCAGTAGAAGAAAGCACTTCAGAGCAATCATGTCACCCATCCAAGTTATCTTTCCATTCTAGAGATGAACCAGAGCTTCAACGAGGCCATCATTCACGACAGCATGAAATACCACCAGGGCTGCTAAGCAATCTTGTGACTCGGGCCTGTATAGCCCAGACCTTGTATCTACTTGCCCTTGACAATGGAACTACATTAGGTTCCACAATGCATAGATCCTCCTAGTCAGTCCACTGCAAAGAATCAAGACTGTGCCTCTATTATTTGAGACAGACCCTGAGTTATCATGGCAGTCCTAAAATCCTGAGCGACACCTCTTGGCTCACCTGAAATCCCTCACAGCAACCAATATGCAATCTGTCCATATAACATCTAAGGGCATCTCTACCAGCTGACGTCAAGAAACAATCGAGGAATGAAGGAATAGATAGTACACCAGAACAATAAGGGTTCTGTCCCTAGTGCCCAACTCCAGGTACATATACTTGAAAATAATGAATTGCTAGGCAGGATACTGAAGGGACCAATGGAATCCTTAGAGCCCACAGCAATAAAATATTGATTACCACAGTTCCTGAATAGTTTCATGTACTACCGAAAGGCAAACACCAGCAAAGATAGCTAAGCAAAAGTCTGGAAGCAAGGTAGATCTTTGGCTGAAATCAGGGAACATTTGCTGGTACACTTCCAGATGTATCTTGAAGAGGATTTGATTGCATTCACATTCTATGACCCATACATACTTATCAATGAATTGTGTGCATATTTGGCATTAAAATCCTTTCTTCTGCATTTCCTTTCATCCTTTCCTTTTCCATCTTAATTGGTGCAAATGATGAAAGCCACAGATCACAACTATTTGCAACAAGGTGTTTCTCCAATTTAAATCATGAGTTTAATCACAGTAAATAGAAACTTTTATTTTTTTTTCCTGAAGTACTCTGGTTAAAGTCGTGTATCCAGATGAAAAATTAGTACTTACAACATAACTTGTTCACCTCAGGGTAACTCAGTTAATGGCAATTTACATATACATTGTCCCCACGTAATAAGTAAGTGTCTCCCCAGAGTAACTGTGAAACATAGTTGCTGTATATTCTGGAGCCATATAGCTTCTCTGCAAGGTATATTAATATGCCTGCAGAAAATATTCAATAGTATTTCAGGAATGATACACCAGGAACACAGCTTTTGAAAATCTTTTGAGACTTAGTTCTTCAGCAGATCTCAGCCATGAAATTTAATATTTCTTTAAAGTCCAGTTTAAGCTCTGTCTTCAAAAAGGTTGACTTTGAATATATTCTGGTGCTTCTCACAGCTCAGTTACATCCATTTTTTGATTAGCTGCCATGAAATGACTAGAACAGCTCAAGGCTTTGTAAATACTTTCCAATTCCACTTATTGAATATAGTACATATTATATTGTTATTAAATGAAGAGCCTTTAAAGAAACAAATCATATGAGCATAGAGGCTTAAATGGATACTGAATATTTCAATTTTTATCACAGCTTTGTTATTTTTCACAGCATAGGGGTGAAGTCAAACTCCCATTCATGTAATTGTCAATGCTTTTCTCATTATTGCAGTTAGTATCAACTGTGGGTTTCACAACCAGCTTGTCTGCATGACCTTTTACCATGAAGTTTATGACCACTGTTCCTTACAGAAGATAGGAAAGATGCACCTAAATTAAAACCATATGTGGACACACTAATAAAAAATAAATTGTAGCAATTATGATTAGCTTGTAGGTAAGAACAGTTACTTCATTTTCTTTGTACTTTTCTACATTCAGTTCCCCCTGCACCCAATTTCAATGAATGAGAAATCATAGATTTTTTTTTAAAAAGCTGGCAAGAATACCCCAGACTTCATTGGCAATTTTCACCAAAATTTGCAGGAAGTACTGTGGATGGTGAAGTGAAAAGCCACCTGTCCTTATTTGTAAAATGATTTTTGATTTTCCAGAAATCAATGTGTATTCAGTTGAAAATCCAACAAAACTTCTTAGGAAGCGAAGCTATGTTTTGTGTGTTTGTGCACTCATTCTCAGAGTTCTGCATTACCCTTCACCCACAAAAATAACTGTGCATACACATCTCTGTAGCAATTTGTTCTCCTGAATTTCTGCCTATCGCTCTGGAAAATTTGCAGCCTGGAATACTGGCCTTCAAAATGCCATTTAAAGCAGGGATGTTTGAAGTGTTCTGCTGTGCTGCAGGCAATCAGAATCAGAATCTCTAGAACATGTAGACTGACTCCTAGTGTCTGTGCCAGTCCTAAACCTCCAAAATGCTTACATAAAAGAATGGCCTAGATTCAAAGTTTCTACCATCCCAGTGAAAGAAGCAAAGAAACCCTACGAGGGTTAAGGGGAATTTCATGAACATAATTTGGGGAGCTATAACCATTCTTATTTGGTACAAAATGTGACTTTTACTACATTAACCTAAAATTAAACGTAACACCTATAGGATGGATTTAACGTTTTGTTCCAAAATGTGGGGCAGTTTGTGCAGTCACCATGCACAAAGGCAACCTCATTTAACCTGCTACTGTGCAGATGCTTTGGACTTCTACTCCCTAGTCAACATGGTCAAGGGTCAAGAAACCTGGGAACTGTAGTTCAAGGCATCAGGAGTACATCAGGCTGAGTAAGGTGGTACTGAAAAGAGCAAGTTAAAAGAATGGCATTGCATAGCATTCCACAAATAACATTTATTGAACCATCTAGATCAAATTTAGGCAAACCTTTTGGGCTGTAGGCACTTTTGGCAATCTGAGACACTGTCCAGGGTAGCATCACAAAATGGCTACAATGGAATGCTTTTTCAAAGTATGAAAATGTGTTCATTGAAAACAAGTAGGAAGGGTAGGGCAGATTGATGGCTGCTAGAAAAGGTGTTTGGGGATGGATCGGTTCCTGTGAGAACATGTTGTCCATCTCTGAACAAGATATTCACAAAGCACTGACTTTATACTCTTTCAGGAGAATTCATTCTAGTAGCCTTCCAAAGCCACTGGCCAGTTTAAGTGCCCTGTTGGCCAAACCTCCTTCACTAGGCAGACAATCCTTGCCTGTTTAGAGAAACATCGAGGGCATACTGAATATGACAGCACTTTTTCTGTCTACACAGATAGAATCATCTTATTTAACTACCCAGACACATTTGTTTAAAAAACTAAGTATTTAAGTCACTTATTGTACACAATCTTCATTTATAATTTAAAAACATAGTTGGAAAACTAAAAATATGCTTGATCTGCAAAATCCTCAGAAGTAATATTTCACAGAAATGTACTGTAATCTTTGATGGCAAATTGAGTATTGAGACAATAACCTATGCTGAAATCAATTACTTAATTGACATTGGGCCAATAACACCAAGACTGTACGTCTCCTTGAACATACTAAGTAGCATTTGCATTGAAATAATTTAAGCTAGTTTTTGAGTAAATACACTTGGAAATGGGAAACAAAATCCACAACCTAACTACATTTAATCAGAAGACTTGCCTCTATATATGCAAGCCTTGGATTACAACCAAGTATCACATAATCCACCTTGAACACTCTTTCCTTTGTGAAAAAGCAGCATATAAATAGATCTCTAATCCAACTTCATTTGTTCTAATCCCCAATTGTTTAAAAATGGGGATGATGAGTTCATAAGACTTAGCAAGCCCCTTAGAAGTGAAGCACTATTAAATGAATAGGAACATTTCAAGGTGCAGTTTCAACTACAACTTTATCATTTTGTGCAAGTACTGTATAAATTCTGGTCTGTTTAAGCTATTCAACAGAAACTGTTTCTGAACTTCAGTTAATTTCATGGAACACTACTCAACTTCCAACTATTTTCTCTCCCACTGTACATTAATCTATATTGATGATGATCTAGTTATCTTAACTCTGGGACATCCAGCATTACAAACTAGTCTTATTAAAGGCTCACTTGAGTACTCCAAATCCACACTGGTGTTTCATATTCCAGGAAAATTAACAGCTTTCCAGCACTGAGATGAAGGATCCAACCTCACTAAACACAGGAGTCAGTGTGTAAAAGAGCCCCTCAAAGGTCTCTTCTGTCCAATACCTTGCCTCCTTGTGACCAATCCAATGCATTATTGGCAATAAATACATTGTCTATTTGTGATATTATCTGCATAAACCAGACTTTTTCTAGATTAAATATACACTTAATCTATACAGGACTAAGTAACCTATGCAGTGCAAGTGAGCATCTTTTGGAAGTTTCAAAGAACCTGAGGTTATTTAAAAGACTCAAGAAAATAAGGCTGCAATTTGCACTACAATACAAGAGTTAAAGTACCATTGCATATATTATACAGAAGCAAATCTAGATCTGCCACCAATTATCCAAGGAAAGGAAGCAAGCCAGTGATGAGTGTATTTTATGACGTGTTCTGGGCCTATGGCCTACTACAAAGGAAGAATTCCATTTAAGTCAAACTATGTGCAGAAAATATAAAAGGTCAGGCCGGTTTTATTTTTGTTAATTTAACACACATTTATAATGGGCTAAAGAGTCACAAATCAGAGGTGTACAGCCACATTGTCATTACTAAGGAATAATTATGAATGGAAAGTGTCCAACAGATGGGAGTCCAAAAATGACACTAGTATGGAAGATCTCATTTTACATCCATTTATTTCATCCCATGGCCATTTAAAGCATAATAGTCAATACATTTCTAACACTACAGAGAATACCAGGGTGACCAGAGTATATATACAAGCCAAAAATAAAAAATAAAAAGATGTGGACAGCTGAATAAGAGTATGTATTCAGTATGGAATCCATTGAACTTCATTCAGCTCAGGCTTTGTTCTTTAGGGAACAAGGTGCTAATGTGCCACTCTCTCATAAAATAAGTATAATTGCTTCCAAAGCAAGTTACTGCTGAAAACATAGATGGAAGCAAGTTAAGTGTAACACTAAATTTCACCTATAAAACCTAGGAGCAACACTTCCTTGAATCAATTTCCACCTTCCAACACCATTACTACTCTGTATTTGTTTTTACAAAAGCCTACTGTTTTATTAAGGCATATTTTGCCCTGAGCAATATGGTGGAAATTAGCCCAAAAGTCTAAACAGTTAAAAGGCAAGCACCAAGTGACTTTTTTAAGAGACACATATAGCAATCTTTTTGTTTACTCATCTATAGCTTAGAGTAACTTACAAAAAATATTGCTCAACAATGTGGTAGGAACAAAAAAGTTTACTTTAGCCCAAACTTCCCAAGCTGGTTGCTTAAAGTTAGGCACTGAAAAAGATATTGAGAACTCGCAGGTAAGATTGGACCTTTGCTGTCTTGACACCTGAATTCAGGTGTCCCTGTTTGAAAAATCAGGCTAAGGCCCGAGATATTCCAAACAACCACAGCCAAAGTGTCAAGTCAACTCAAGCTAAGAAACATCCATATAATGTACCATAAAGTGGTCTTCAGGGCTTTTTACTACACACGCATCCATTCTAGCTACAGTCAACTGGTGCAACATTCAGGTTTTCTTAATCCTATTTTTCCCATATCTCCTATTAGCCAATTAAGTTTCCAGAGTGGCACAGGTTGTTAATTTAAAATCTAGTGCACACTTCTATTTAAAAGGCCTTAAAGATCTTTATAGTTACAGCTTTTTGTAGGGCCAGGAGACCATACAATTGATAATTTAGAAATTAAGACTAAGTAGCAAACAAGTGCCTTCTTTATATGAATTTAGACAAAACAGGCAACCTACTAAGCTATCAAGAGTATCCAGAAAAAGAAACACAGCCAAATTCTACATTTTATTCACATTTATTTTTCGCTTTTAGTGTGCTCACAGAAAATTAGAACACCTTAAGCAGGAATTTAATAGCAATTTTGTAAGCAAAGTTACATTCCATCTCTAAGTCAAATTGGTCAAAGCTTCTCCAGTATTTACAAAAAACATGATAGACAAGATGCTACACAAAAACCATTGCATCTGAAATTGGTTTTTTCTTCTTTATTCTCAAAGACAACTGGAAAAAGAAAGCATCATCTGCTGTCATCAAAAACATACCACAGTATAAACAGTAACCATTCCACTTATCACAGCTTGGTTGAGTTTAAAATTGTGTGTGGTGTTGTTTTTTTAAGGTCCAAGATTACTGCAATTTTACAAAAATGGGCAGGGTGGAAAAGTTGCAAACTTAATGTGCTTCTGGATATCAAGATTTGTTTTTATACAATAGTCACAGTTAAAAACACCCTGCTGGTAATACATAATTACACTTTATTAAGGTCATAAACCAGCAATAAACAATAAAGCCTATACAACTTGTATTTCTACTTAATCACTGACTGGTACAGCTAACATGAGATAAGTGAAAGTTCCTATGGTTTAAATGAATTTCCTAAGACTATGATTTTTTTTAAATCTGAGTATTGGAATTTTTCTTCTTCCTTCTTAGTCAAGACTTGTAGTGTTGTAAACCTTATAGAACATCTGCCTCACAAAATACATTGTAATAACTTTCTTTTTAAAAAAAGACTAACCCTTATTTCTTGTGGCACATTTTCTTGGCAAATTATCTGCACCACTAATTCCCCATTGTGACCCCTATCACTTCATTTGCTATCCCTTATTGACCCATCCATCTCCTTCATATATGGGCATGTCCATAGATTGACAGAGAAAAAAAAGTTTACATTTTGAATAAGATGCAAAGTATGCAAAAAACATTAATACTGATGCAAAAAAAGAGGAACGAGGCAGAGGGAGGGATTTAGGCTCTCCTCCGCCAGTTGGAATGGTGGTAACAGAATGATCTGAGATGGGATCTGTGGGTAGAGACAAAAAAGAGAAAGACATCTTTTAAATCAATCCCTGGTTGTAGACAAGTTCTCCAAAACCAGTACCTGGCACCACTCCAAACAAACAAACAGGGGGGAAGAAAAGTTCAATCATCTCAAAATTGCCATCATTTTTTTTTTTTACTCTGCCGACTCAGCTGGTGCAGCTTCTGGACTAGGCTCGGATGGGGCTTCCTGTGTAGGGGCTGCCGCCGCTGCCTCCTCTGCTTTGGGCGCCTCTTGTTCGGCTGAGGGGGCTTCGGCGGTGGCGCTGGAGGCAGGGGCAGCGGGCGCCTCCTCCTGTTTCTCCTCTGGCTTCTGCTCTTCAGCAGCCTTGGGCTCTTCGCCTACAGGCTTCTCTGGCGCAGTCTCTTCCGATTTGGCCTCCTGCGAGCCTCCCGTCTCCTCCTTCGTCTCCTCTGTGCTGCCAGTGGCGGCAGGAGCGGAAGGCGACGCCTCCGGGGCGGCTTTGCTTTCCTCGCCGCTGGCCGGTTCTGCAGGGGCAGCGGCAGCATCATCTTTCCCCCCTTCTCCAGAGGCAGCCGCGCCTTCGGCCTCAGCGCCTTCCCCAGACTCCTTTTTGTTCTTTTTAAAGGAGAAGCCACTGAGCTTAAAGGACTTTTTGAAGGAAAAGCGCTTCTTTTTTTTTTTCGGGGTCTCGTTGCTGGACGAAGGAGTCGCTCCCTCCTCGGTCTTGGAGGAGGACTCCCCCTCGGCAGGGGAGGCTGGCTCTGTGCTCTCCGCTTCCGCCGCCTCCTTCTCCGAGGCGGGCTCAGAAGGGGTCTGCTCTTCCTTCACCGACTCTTCGGCTGGAGCGCTGCCATTCGCCTGGACCTCCTCCTTGCCCGCCTCAGCAGCTGCCGGAGAGGCATCGCCGTTCACCTTCACGTGGCCATTCTCCTGGAAAAAACCAGCTCAGTGTTATTAGAAGAACCGGCTCTCCTGCCATGTACTGAGTGCAACCGATTTCATGTCTGAACCACCATTTGTCTATTTTTTCTTAAAGCCAAGTGCACACACAACCTCCAGCACTCAACACAGGTGCCCATGGCCTGCACAGACACTCTGAAGGGCTCGACACTCTATGGGAGAAGGTTGTGAACATTAAGGCGTGAAGAGAGCCTGGTCATCCTCGACGGCGCACGGCAGCACGTTGCTGCAGCTTTTCCCGCTGCTTTCCCCGAGGACGCGTGACGCCTTGCCCGGCTCGGGAGAAGGCGCGCGACACGCAACTCGCAGGCCCAGGCCCCTCCCCCCGCCCGCCCCCCATTCCCACGTAGCCCCTCCAAGAGCCGGTGCACGTCGGGATGTCAGCGTTGTCTCAAGACACGTCGCACGGCAGCAGCCCGCGCCTCCCTGGGAACCATGGTTTAAGCCTCCACCACCCGGCAGCGCGGCGAGGCAGCGCCGTTGCAGAGACCGGGGTCCGCCGGTAGAAGGCACTGTGGCTCCACCTTGCAAAACTCGAGGCGTACCGGCGGCGGCGGCGCTGCAACGACGCTGAGGGAGGAGACTAGAAGAGGAGGCGAGCTCGAAGGAAGCTCCGCTCGCGCCGAGGCCAGAAGCAGCTCCGCTGGCCGAACAAAGCTCCTTGCCGTCCCTTTCTTCCCTCCACCACCACCACCTCCTCCTCCTCCTCCTCCCTCGGCAATAACACAAGGCAACAGGCACACGCATTCCTCGCCATTGTTCCCCGAGGCAGAGGCGCTCCCATTCTCCGTCCCGTTCGTGGCATGCATTTTACACGCGCCTCGAGCATTTCTCCGGAGAGAGGCAAGCTGCGGCGAAGAGGCGTGGTGCTACTCCTGCCGCCGGCGCCACCGCGGCCAAGCCCAGATGGCTGAGCGGGCAGAGCGAGGACCCGGGAGACGCGGTGGGGAGCCCGGAGCGCCTGGCAAGCGCCCCAAGGGTCTGCCCCGTGTTCAGCCCCGAAGCCCGTGCATTGCACGACACGCGCGGGCTCCTTCTCACGCAGAAGCCCACCGCTCCCATAGGAGCGGCCCGCCTTTTTTCCGCAAAAAGAACCGATGCGGGGAAGTCTCGTAGCCCAGAGATCACTGTAGCACAAACCGAGGCAGCAAGGCACAGCGCGAAGAATTCAGCAAGCAAGATGGAGAAGACACCCGGCAGCCCCTTCCTCAGTGCATGGACAACTCTCCAGCGCCCCCCACCCCCCAGTACCGCCTGCCGCTTGCTCTCGCCTTATCACCACCGAGCACCACCGTACCCCCCCCACGCGCCAAAGAGGAGAATTGGAGCGGGGAGGGGGGACAGGGAAGGAAAGAGAAGACAGCCTGTTACAGCAGAGGAAGCCATGCAAGAACACACAGTCCAGCCACAGTGCTCGGGCAGCCAAACGGTCTTCCAAAATGCCACCAGTTTGAAGCAAGTTACACTACCAGGAAGTCACCTATCCTACAGCAGGCAAACATCCTTGCCTTTCCATCATACTACAGCTAAAAATTGGTCCTAAAGTATATCCTATTCTCAACACACACAGGCGCGCATACACACACACACACACACACACACACACACTCCTTTTGTGTTTTCGAAACGAGCTGGCCATCAGTTTTTAAAACCATTCATACCTCCTCCCCCCAGCATATACAGGCGAAATAAAACACTACATGCAACTTAGATAAATAATACCCCATTATTCCCCTCGCTTACCTGCCCATTCGCCTTCGAAGGAGATGCAGCCACTGCTTCTCCAGGCTTTTCGGCAGCAGCTTCGCCTTTTGCAGCGTTCTTGGAGAACTGGGCACCCATGCTGGTTTATTCAACAAAGAAACTCAACAGATCCAAAAGAAGGGGAAACAAAGAGCAGTGGGTTCGTGTAAATGCTGGACGACCAGCAGCCTGAAGAGCAGTAGAGCACGCACACGCACACCAAAGCGGGAGGAGGGGGGGAGAGAGAAGAGAACCGATTATTTTTAAATATATACACTCCTGTTTTTTTCCTAAAAAAAAAAAAAAAATAAAGCCGGAGAGATTGGAAAAAGGCAGCAGCAGCAGCACAGGAAGAAAGGATGGGGAAAAGCAAGGAAAAAAGTCGAGCAAAAATATTAGAAGCCCAAGTTTAGCACAAAAAAAGAAGTAATAAAAAATCCCAGATTTGTAGCCGTACTGTAGACAAGGGGAAAATGGAGAAATCTCCCTGGTCGCTAATAAGATGCGGAGTCCAACGCCCAAGTGCACAGATGAATGGGCTTCCCAAGCGCTGACGGCAGCCCCCGCCCGCCTTCGACCAATCACCGCGCCGCCAGACAAAAGAGGGGGCGGAGCCTCCAATTGGAGCGAACAATGGAGCTGCGATTGCAATAATTTGAAATCGGCCTTGGACTGATAATTAATACTCCGAAGAATATAAATAAATTAATGGGATTAAGGCATACACCCTGATTTCTCTTTAAAAAGCAAAATTCAGCGAAGCACGGTGGAGTTTATTGCCCTTTCCTTTTGGTGACGGACGGACAGACGGACGTTGGGGGGGGTGTCCTATTGATTTGCTGTGGTCGTGGCAGCCTCTGTTTGGTGTCTGTCTCCCCCACCTCGGTGAAGCCAGAGACAATGGTTTGACTTGTGTGTGTGTTTCTGATTTCATCTCCTCGCCCCCGCTGTCACCCCCCTCCCCCTCCCCCTTGTTCTTGTAGAAAAATCAACAGATAGGGAGGCTTGGATTTTGGCTTTAATTGGTTGCAATTGTTCAATTGTCCCAATTTGAAAGGTATTTAAACCACGTAGATCGCGTTTCGCTAAACGAGATCACGAGTTGAAAATTATTAGGTCTGTAGGCCAGATGTGAAAAATGCTTAAAGCAGCAGCTGCCGCTGCCATAGCTATGGAAGAAGCGTTCCCTTCCCCCATCAATATTGGCTTGAAATAAAATATTTTGCGAGGAGCCTACGGGTCTAATTAAATTTCGCTGCCTGATTAGCTTTGATTTGTACTCTAAAAAACCTTATTTGCTGAGACTGCAAAGCCTTTTCTTTCTTTCTTTCTTTTTTGAAGATGATGAAGTTAATAGATGAAACTAATGCCGTCGGAATAAACGTTTGTGTGGTTTGAAAAAAGAAGACTTGCATCCATGTGTAACTGATGCTCCCAGCCAAATGGAACTCGAGCCTAATTCGTTTTTACGTGGTGCATGTCGGAGCCATGATGGTCTGTATGAAAATACCAAGGTTCTGAATTTCCAGTGAGGTGGGGAAGGGGGCGTCCCATCTTAAGCAACGTGTAGCCCGATCCTATGAAGAGTGCCTCCCTTAAAATCCATTCGCTTAGACACGCCTAACTGCATAGGATTGTGGCTCTAGGTGGATCCACGGAACGTTGATTTCTTCTCTTCATTTTAAAGGGCTACAATGGAGTGACAAGAAATGTTGCGGAGGTGCAGGGACGGATCTCCGACTCGTTACTTCAGAAACAAGCACGAGATCGTTCGGGGAGCTGCATTTCACGCCTGATCCGGAAAATGAACATCAGAATACGGAATGCTTGGGAGAGAGTAGTGAATAAGGATCCTGCCCATCCTTCATTAATTTCCCCTACGGACTTCATTGTGTGCTGAGCCCAGCTTGGCGCATCTGAGGCCGTTTAAGAACACCCCCTCCCCCCGCCAGCGTTCTAGTATTTTTAGCAAGATGGCACTCAGTCAAGGAATATTTCGTTTTTTGTGGGTAAAATCCAGCACGAGGCGTTTGGCTTTTACATCAAGCCTCTCCCCTCCACACCTCCTCCTCTCTCTTTCCCCGTTCCAATATAGTTCTTTTCTTCATCTTGGGCTACGGGGTCGCATGGAGGAAATCCATGAGTGCCAACCGCGACTTCTTTGTTTTGATCCTTCTCTCTTTTGGAAAAGGGATCGGGGTGGGTGGTGATGATGGTTTCAACACTGCTCCTATTCTGTGCGTTATTCACGCTCCAAGTTATAGCCTCCTAGAGCTGCTGTGGTGAGATTGGCGTTGGATGGGTGTGCATCTCGCCAACAAACGTAGCCGATCGCCCTTTGGGGAAATCGGCCAAGCGGCCGGCAACACAAGTAGATGGAAACCAACCGGCTCGGTGTACATGTGGCACTCCCCAACCGAAACGTAATCTGTGTAATCCATACACGTCCAGGTGCTTGTAAAGGGCGTTTTGGTGCCTGTTGATTTTCTTCACTAGGAAAACAACCCAATTACCTTCCCTCTGCGCTATTGGGCAGCTGTTGGCTTAAAGAGCTGCGAAGCCTGTCTCGGAAGCGGCGGCCAGAGGCATCTCTTCCAGCATCTGCATCAAAGGGGGAAAGAGAGGGCAAACTGAGCTAGTCTGGGGAATCCCCCCCCCCCCCCAGTCTCATTTGAGAAGCTCGGCTCCTTTATTGCTTCTTTGTTACCAGGCTGCATTGCTTTTGCAGGGTGCCTATTTACACGGTATCGGCTGGTTTCCTAGGCGACGTCCGGGGAAGATTCGAAAGGGAGGGAGGGGCTCGCGTGAGGAAGGCGGCGGATGGGAAGAACGCGGGCGAGAGTCGCGGGAGGGGAACCAAACAGATGGGACCCTAAAGGAGGCGGGTGGGGGGAGGAAGATGGGCCCGCGCTGGCTGGGGAGGAGGCTCCGCACGGGACCGCTTCAAGCAGCCGAAGAGGCAGCTGCTTTCTTCGGGGGAGCAGCACCTCCCCCTCCCCCCGTTAGTCTGTTCCTCTTTCTGGGAAGACACTGCAAGCCACAGCAACAACAGTTAGGCAGGACTCCGGCCATCGGGGCAGTCATTTCCAGGCCCAAGTGCAAAGCCACGAAAGGAAAGGAAGTTGCTCGCCCCCCAGCAAAAAGTAAGACGACAGGCCAGAGAGGGGAAAGGGTGGACGAAAGCTCCCTCTGCCTGGGTAAAGGTACCTGGTAGATTGCCCACTATTTGAGGGCAAATGGTTTCTCTTTAAGCATAGTTAGTTATTTGATGTATTATCTTGCATCTCTCCAAAACAATTTCAAATAGGTTGGACCATCAAAGTGCACAAAGGTACAATAAACAATACAATCTCAATAAAAGCAGCATGCAAACCAGTGGACCTGCCTTCAGCAGCCTTTGCTTGATGGCAGCACAGCAGAGAGGGAGTGAGCCAGTTCTCTGGGCAGGGAGCCCTGGGCAGCCCCTGAAACGCGCTTCTCTGCCTATGCCACCAAATGCTCCTGTGTTGGTCGTAGCCTTGAAAGAAGAGCCTCCTCGGAATACCTGAAGGTCCAGGCACCCCCATATGGGAGAAGCTGGTCTTCCAGGCAGCCTGGTCTGAAGCCACATGGGGATTTATAGCTCATAATCAGCACTTTGAATTTTGCTTGGAAATACACCAGTAGCCAGTGAAAGTGCCGTAACAAAGCCCAGTCCACAGTCCGGCCACAGCATTCAGGAGTAGGGGATGTTTCCACAGAGCTTGTGAAGGCAGCCCCACATAATGTGCATTGCAGTAGGTCATCTAGGAGGCCCATAAGATCTGCATGGCCACAACCAGATCTGTGCTAAATATCATGGAACAGCACGAAACCCTGAAAGACACCATAGTCCAATGTCTATGGTGTTAAACAGGAATCTCTCACTGCCCCCTTCTAAAATGGCTTCTTCAGTCCTATCTGAGGCAGATGCCTGAGAAGGATGTTGTGACTGATGGTACTAAAATCTACTGAAAGTCCAGCAGAATTAATAGGAATGTATTCTCCAGGTCCACAAAGTTTATCCACCAAACTGATGAAATGAGTCTTTACACTATGTTGAGACGGATGTAATCAATCTATCTCATCCAGGAATCCCTAGAGCTGAGAAGCCCCCACACATATTGGACACTGGTTAAAATTATCCAGCAGAGTGGTGTTCAGGGTGAAGGTTTTTTTTTTTTTTTTTTTTAAGCAAAGCAAAGGTCTTACGGTCACTTCCTTTAGGCAAAATGGAATTACACCTTGCCATAAAGACCTGTTCACCACTGCCATGGCAAATGCAGCCATTTTATAGGCTAGGAAGGGCAAGAGTCCAGCACAGAAGTACTAGGCCCAGTTCACAAAGGACTGTGCCCATATCCTTGGGTTACATACTTTGGAAAAAAATCTGTTGGAATAAGCAGAGCCAAAGTTGCATCCAACAAACCTACCATGGCATGAAAGTCAGCCTGAACAGAAACTTTTTATTGGGAAAGTATTGTGCAAATTGGTCACTATGGGCTATCAAGTGGTCCACTTCTTCTTCCAGGCAGGAGTGTAACAGACTTCAGGATACAGCCCCCCAGGAGCTCTGCTGGTTGACTCTTAAAGAGATGCAATGGGGGCAGAGCAGGATTATTCTTTACTGCCACGGAGCAGGCTTACAAATGAGTATTAGCCATGTTGATTAGAGTGATTCCAAGTTTTCTATCAGTGTCACTCTAGATGATGCCTGTTCATTTCACCACTCACAGCACCCTGAGAAAATGAGAAACACACTTCACCCATATTGGGGAGGCAAACATTCAGGAACCATTGTGTCAACCACCTGAGCATTTCTCTTTCTAGAGATCAATGAGAGCTTTGACAGAATTACCTGCCAAAGTGACAGGAACATCTCTGCATCCTTCAGTTTCTTGGAGTAGCTATCTTAATCACACATTCCTCACACACACACACACACACACCACCACCACCACCACCCCTACAGAGGTCCCAAATCCCAGATACTTTTTTGTCCCCAGTGATGAGATTCCCTTGACTTTCACAGATGTTTTAAACAGAAGATCAGCAGGTGCAGAATAACCTGGTATGTGGTGGTGGAAGAAATGCTCATTATTGAGTTTCTGACTGTTGTGCTGCTGTTAAGGCCATCCTGCTTTGAAAAAGATGGGATGTTTTCATAATGATACATTTTTAGTCAAGATGAGAGCAGGTTCCTTTGGAAATTGATGCTTGATACAGGCCGATGAGGTAAGCAACTGTGATTTATGGGATGTTGGTCCCATTTTTAGTACTGATCCACACACCAATCTTGTATGTGTGTCCTAGCACTGTGTCTTGGCTGATCCTTGAATTGTTTCCTTCACAGTATCCAGGGTGCTTCCAGCAACAGTCATGGGTTTCCTATTTTCTTTAAGCCAAGATCAATGTAGCTGCTCATGTTAGTAATTCATGCATTTCTCTGTTTTAGCCTACA